TTTCTCACGCTTACGACCGCCGCAGCATCCCCATGATCACGTGATCAAAATCCAGACATTTGGCAACTGACTCGTATTTATGGCCGTTGCTGGGTCCCGAGGTCATGTGATTCCCTTTCGCGACCGTCTGACAAGCAAAATCAACGGGGTTCGCTCAAAAACCGGGCGGCCGACTTACCAATTGCAGTGATTCATTTAACAACGGGGGCAAGAAACAGTTGTAAAATGGGGCACAAAACACACTTAACGAGGGTCTCACTTAACGACAGAAATGTTGGGCTCAATTGTGGCCTTAACAATTAACTGAACCATTAACCTATAGAGTGGAACAGCTTCCCCCCCCCCCGAAATCGTGGGCCTCGATCACTGGAGATTTTTAAGAAGAGACTGGACAGTCACTTGTCTGAGATGGTGTAGGTTCTCCTGCTTGAGTGGGGGGATTGGACTAGAAGATCTCCAAGGTTCTATTCCAGGGCTTTTCAATCAGTGGTACATTGGCACCTGGCACCTGGCAGGTGGTACGCGGCACCTGGCAGGTGGTACACGGCCATCCTAGAAAAGTGGTAGCGGGGAGGGGAATGAGCTGAACCGGTGGCAGCACCGCACAAGCCTGAGTGAGAGACGGCTGGAGCTGCAGGGCTGTCAGGGGTCTGCGGAAGCATCAGGATCAGTGCCACTTTCCAGCTGATTGGCGCTTCTTCGGGGCTGTCAGGGCTCAGTGGAAGCGCCAGGATCAGCGCCAGGCTCCAGCTGGAGCTCAGCGCTGATCCTGGCGCTTTTGCTAAGCCCTGAAGAAGCGCCGATCAGCTGGAAAGCAGCACTGATCCTGGTGCTTCTGCTGAGCCCAGAAGAAGAGCCGATCAGCTGGAATGTTGGAGCATCTCCAGGGTCTTGTGATTTACATTCAGGTGCTTGGCAACTGATTCATATTTATGATGGTCACAGTGTCCCAGGGTCATGTGATGTGACCAAAACCTGCTGCAACCACCCAGCAGATGGGGGGAATAAAAACCAAACATNGATAGATAGATAGATAGATAGATAGATAGATAGATAGATAGATAGATAGATAGATAGATAGATAGATAGATAGATAGATAGATAGATAGATAGATAGATAGATAGATAGATAGATAGATAGATAGATAGATAGATAGGACAGACAGACAGACAGACAGACAGACAGACAGACAGACAGACAGACAGACAGACAGACAGACAGGCGGGCAAAACAGATATTTGCCTTTGGACTCCCTACAAGTAAAAAAAAACTGATAATAATAAAGAAATAGCTGCTAAAGCCATTGCAAAATGCCATGCCATTCCATCTTTACGCCCTTCCCCTTGAAGAGAGGGACAAACCAAATTTGACCCACTTTTCGGATAAAAAGATCAAGAATTAAAAATAAAAGGACAACAATAAAAGAAAAAAAAGAAAACACAGCACCCCAAAAGTACTGCATTTAATGGAAAGGTGGTTCGAAAAAGACCAAGGTATTTTAAAAAAAAACAACACGAAGGTATTTAAACTCAAGTGATTAAGAAGAATGCAAGGCACCCAGGACAGGTTATGCAATGGGGACCAAAGCTATTTGAGTGATGGGGAGGGAGGGGAGAGAGAGAGAGAAAAAAGGGGGGGAAGGTTTAAAAAAATAGGCTTTGTGTAAGGAAAGTCTCCTCCCAGCTTTTCTGGTAAAAAAAAGAGCTCAGGTCAGGAGGTGGTGGGAAAGACGTCAACCGGAGCCCCTGGAAAGCTGCTATTCTTAGTTCGATAATGCCCGGCTGCTGGTGGAACCAAGGATTTCCTTGGGAATCGGACGTTTTCTTGGTATACTCTCGTGCGGGATTTTATAAGTACAGGAAGAATAAAGAGATCTTTAAAACAAATAGGAATCCACCCAATCACTTGAAAGGTAAACAGAAGGCAAAGAGCTACTGGTATGCAAAGAGGTGTTAAACAAGAACAGTGATCCCACTTCAGAGGTAGCTGGAGATCAACTTCCAGGCTAACGGTGAGGGACAGTTGGCTTTGTGCTCCAGGCCAGGGCTTTTCAACCAGTGGTAAGGGTACCACCTGTGGTACATTGGCACCTGGCAGGTGGTACGCGAACATCCTAGAAAAGTGTTAGCGGGGGAGGGGAATGAGCTGAACCGGTGGCAGCACCGCACAAGCCTGAGTGAGAGACGGCTGGAGCTGCAGGGCTGTCAGGGCTCAGCGGAAGCACCAGGATCAGCGCCAGGATCCAGCTGGAAAGCAGCACTGATCCTGGCGCTTCTGCTGAGCCCAGAAGAAGCACCAATCAGCTGGAATGTTGCAGTATCTCCAGGGTCTTGTGATTTACATTCAGATACTTGGCAACTGATTCATATATATGACGGTCACAGTGTCCCAGGGTCATGTGAAGTGACCAAAACCTGCTGCAACCACCCAGCAGACGGGGGGAATAAAAACCAAACACCCCCCCACCGCTACCAATCCTCAACAGAAATGCTCACAACAATGGAAACCTCGGACAGGAGGAAGAGTGCCACCGGGCGGGCAGGCAGGTGTCTTGCTCGGCTGTGGCTTGGGGGGCCCTTTTTTCAGTGCCATTGTAACTTTAAACAGTCACTAAGCGAACTGTTGTAAGTCGAGGACTACCTGTACTTTATCACTTTTTTCCTTTTTTTTTTTTTTGGGTCATCAAGTTTTTGACACCTTGCTAGGCGACTGGTGGTACTCGGATGTTGCCATATCCTAAAAGTGGTACAATGGGTGAAAAGGTTGAAAAGCCCTGCTCCAGGCAACAACTGGAGAACTACCGTTTCCTAATGCCAGTCTTGGTTGGCCTTGCAGTCTTTTCCCTGAGTAATGCAAAGGCTAGGGCAGGTAGGAGAAGACAGCCAAGCTGTATCCATCTGAGCCCTACAACAATTAACTTCACCAAAAATCAAGGGACTTTGATTTGGACCCAGTCAAGCTTCTCCCACGCACAATATAAAACCCAAACAGCCAGTGGGGCAGGGCAACAACAGTCATACCGAATTTCGTGCCTTAGAAATAGAAGGTTCGTTCTAGAGAAAAGTCTATCTGACTGCTTAAAAAAAATGACATCAATATTGTTATTAAATAGCCAGGGAAGATGGAAGGCATAAATGCTCGATGGGCAAAAATAATTTTACGGGAATAATTTCTCTTGTTAAGACAGTATTACGGGTGAAGGATTCCATCTCAAACAAGTTTCTTTTTTTTTAATGATAATCGGAACAAATACCCCCAAAGGCGTTACCCATAAGAAAGCTCACGTCAGGACACCCATTCTGCCCAACCGGCAAACTGTAACCGATTCCCACAACTTCCTCCAGTCCTCAATGTGCAGACAACGGCTTGGTTTTTCACCTACACCAGGGGTAGGCCACCTTGGCTCTTTGATGACTCGTGGACTTCAACTCCCAGAATTCCTGAGCCAGCATGGCTGAGCTTGGAAACCTCTCCCTTTCCCCTCAGCGTGGCTGGCTCAGGAATTCTGGGAGTTGAAGTCCACGACCCATAAAAGAGCCGGGGTTGCCTACCCCTGCCCTATACCGTTCCAGACAAGTGGCTGTCCAGTCTCTTCTTAAAAGCCTCCAGTGATGGAGCACACCCACAACTTTTGGAGGCAAGTTGTCCCACTGCTTAATTGTTCTGTCAGGAAATTTCTCCTCAGTGCTAGGTTGCTTCTAGAACGAAGGAGAAATTTCCTAATGGTGAGAGCAATAGACCAATGGACTAGCTCAGGGGGAGGCAACCTTGGCTCTTTTATGACTCGTGGACATCAACTCCCAGAATTCCTGAGCCAGCATGGGGGAACTATCGCCCCCTCTTGACTGGTGGACTTCAACTCCCAGAATTCCTGAGCCAGCATGGCTCAGCATGGAAACCTCTCTCTTTCCCCTCAGCATGGCTGGCTCAGGAATTCTGGGAGTTGAAGTCCACCAGTCATAAAAGAGCCAAGGTGGCCTACCCCTGACCTAAACCTAAGCCGTGATTTTTTAAACCCTGGTTTGCTGAGCAAAAGCCACAGTGGCCTGCTCATGATGTGAAGTTGTGAGTGAAGAGAGACGCCTGGAGAGATACGAAACGAAAAACAGAAAGGAAGTGTGTTCAAAGGGAAAGCGCGGGAAGCAGTACACTCACTTCTCTGCCCTTAAGGCAGTGGTGGCGAACCTATGGCACGGGTACCAGAGGCGGCACTCGGAGCCCTCTCTGTGGGCACACGTGCCGTTGCCCCAGCCTTGCCTCCCCCTGTGACCCCCTCCTCTCCAGCAGCCCCCCCAGAGGAGAGTCGCCCCCGAGCGTGGCCCACACGGAGCAGCGCAGCCAAGGACATGGCAGCCAGGCAGCGTAGACAAGACTCTGCCCTCACACCCCATTGCGCAGTTAATGCTACGCGGTGCGGGCAGAGGGCGTGGCCGCCATGGCGCTGCTGGGCAATCTGCGGCGGGCCCTGGAGGTGGTGAATGGCCCTGCGGGCAGGCGGGGCGGGGGTGGAGCGGGGCCGGGGCCAGTTTTTGGGCACTCAGTCTCTAAAATAGTGTTTCTCAACCTTGACAATTTTAAGGCATGTGGACTTCAACTCCCAGAATTCCACAGCCAGCAGTGCTGGCTGTGGAATTCTGGGAGTTGAAGTCCACATGCCTTAAAATTGTCAAGGTTGAGAAACACTGCTCTAAAAGGTTCGCCATCACTGCCTTAAGGTCTCTCTAGACCGGCTTTCATCAATTCTGCTCAAGGTCACCCTCTCCCTTTAGGGGAGGGACATGTTTTTCTCCTCTACAAAATTTCTTTCCCAGCCCAAAGCGCTTGCATTCGGTTACGGGTCCGAGACCACTTCTGCAGGACCCACGGAAGGAACCGGATGGATTCTCCCATGACGCTCAACCTAAAACCCCCATCTCCTTTACAGCTTAGTATGCGGTGGGAATTAAGCAAAGCCTCCCTTCGCTGGTAGGAGAGGTTTCGAGAGAGGAGCCGTACTTACCTTCACATAGATGACAGGGATGGTCTGTTTGGCTTTGGTGAAGTGGCGGGCCACACGATAGACCGTTTCGGGCACGTAGTCCAGGACTAAATTAAGGTAAACTTCATCCTTCTGCAAGAGAGTGCAAAACGTAAGTGAACAAATGGGATCCCCCCAACTCACAGCACCTTATCCAACAGGGGTGGGGGAACTGTGGCCCTTTGATGACTTGCGGACTTCAACTCCCAGAATTCCTGAGCCCTCAGGAATTCTGGGAGTTGAAGTCCACAAGTCATCAAAGGGCCACAGTTCCCTACCTCTGCTATAACAGGACAATAGACTAGACCAGGGGTGGGGAACCTTGGCTCTTTTATGACTCGTGGACTTCAACTCCCAGAATTCCTGAGCCAGCATGGGGGAACTATGGGCCCTTCATGACTCGTGGACTTCAACTCCCAGAATTCCTGAGCCAGCATGGCTCAGCATGGAAACCTCTCCCTTTCCCCTCAGCATGGCAGGCTCAGGAATTCTGGGGGTTGAAGTCCACGAGTCATAAAAAAGCCAAGGTTGCCTACCCCTGGACTACACTATTGTTGTTTATTTGATTTGTATGGCAGTCCATCTCACCTAAGCGACTCTGGGCTGCTGACAACAGGTTAAAAAAAAAATCCCACAAAAAAAAGCAAGTTAAATATCAACATACAAACACATAAAAAGCGTCCCTCATCAGTGACGGAAGCCTGCATCTTGTTAGCAATGTCGTTCAATAAAGAAAGATTCTAGCCCTGCCTGGTCTAAAAATGCAGAGATAAACATGCTTTGTTTATAAAATGAGAAAGGCCCTTTCCTGTCACCCTCTCGGAAAGCCGTGGTTGAAATCCCAGTTGCAGCCGGCACCGTTGTGGCTTCCTTCCCTATAATTCTTGAGGTTTTGTGCTCAGAGGCATCCTGCGATTACTATCTCCAATTATTTTTGGATTCGGCTCCAAACCTGCAACTTGCAGCGGAACTCCAGAGTCTCTTGCCTCAGATGAAGCGTGGGCTAAAACAGGGCTTTTCAACCTTTTCATCCATTGTACCACTTTTAGGATATGGCAATATCCGAGTACCACCAGTCGCCTAGCAAGGTGTCAAAAACTTGATGACCAAAAAAAAAAAAAAAGGAGAAAAAGTGATAAAGTACAGGTAGTCCACGACTTACAACAGCTCGCTTAGTGACTGTTCAAAGTTACAATGGCACTGAAAAAAGTGCCTCCCAAGCCACAGCCGAGCAAGACACCTGCCTGCCCACCCGGCCGCACTCTTCCTCCTGTCCGAGGTTTTCATTGTTGTGAGCATTTCTGTTGAGGATTGGCAGCGGGGGTGGGGTGGGGGGGTGTTTGGTTTTTATTCCCCCCGTCTGCTGGGTGGTTGCAGCAGGTTTTGGTCACTTCACACGACCCTGGGACACTGTGACCATCCTAAATATGAACCAGTTGCCAAGCATCTGAATGTAAATCACAAGAGCCTGGAGATGCTGCAACATTCCAGCTGATCGGCTCTTCTTCTGGGCTCAGCAGGAGCGCCAGGATCAGTGCTGCTTTCCAGCTGATTGCTGCTTCTTCAGGGCTCAGCGGAAGCACCAGGATCAGCACAGAACTCCAACTGGAGCCTGGCGCTGATCCTGGCGCTTCCACTGAGCCCTGACAGCCCCGAAGCGCCGATCAGCTGGAAAGCGGCACTGATCCTGGCTCTTCCGCTGAGCCCTGACAGCCCTGCAGCTCCAGCCATCTCTCACTCAGGCTTGTGTGGTGCTGCCACCGGTTCAGCTCATTCCCCTCCCCCGCTACCACTTTTCTAAGATGGTCACGTACCACCTGCCAGGTGCCAATGTACCACAGGTGGTACCTGTACCACTGGTTGAAAAGCCCTGGACTAAAACACAAAGGGTTGGAAAACAAGAGAGGAAAATTAAACACCTCTCATTGTTGAGCTTCACGATTTCAGCATATTTAAGAACCCCCACGTGTAGGTTTGCCAACCAGGCCGCTAAAGTAACCGCTGAAGATATGCCTGCCAACTTTTACTCTTTTAAGCTGATAGATAAAGAATTTCCCAAGATCTGGCAAGGCTTTCTGGACAGAACAGAGGAGAATACAACATACAGATAGTCCTCGACTTACGACGGTTTATTCAGGGACCGTTCAAAGCTACAACGGCACTGGAAAAAGCGGCTCGTGGCAGTTTCTCACGCTTACAACCGTCGCAGCATCCCCATGATCACGTGATCAAAATTCAGACGTTTGGCAACTGACTCGTATTTATGGCCGTTGCTGGGTCCCGAGGTCGCGTGATTCCCTTTCACGACCGTCTGACAAGCAAAGTCAACAGGGTTCGCTCAAAAACCAGGCGGCCGACTTACCAATTGCAGTGATTCATTTAACAACGGGGGCAAGAAAAAGTTGTAAATGGGGCACAAAACGCACTTAACGAGGGTCTCACTTAACGACGGAAATGTTGGGCTCAATTGTGGCCTTAACAATTAACTGAACCATTAACCTATAGAGTGGAACAGCTTCCCCCCCCCCCCGAAATCGTGGGCCCTCGATCACTGGAGATTTTTAAGAAGAGACTGGACAGTCACTTGTCTGAGATGGTGTAGGTTCTCCTGCTTGAGTGGGGGGATTGGACTAGAAGACCTCCAAGGTTCTATTCCAGGGCTTTTCAACCAGTGGTAAGGGTACCACCTGTGGTACATTGGCACCTGGCAGGTGGTACGTGACCATCCTAGAAAAGTGGTAGCGGGGGAGGGGAATGAGCTGAACCGGTGGCAGCACCACACAAGCCTGAGCGAGAGACGGCTGGAGCTGCAGGGCTGTCAGGGCTCAGTGGAAGCGCCAGGATCAGCGCCAGGCTCCAGCTGGAGCTCGGCGCTGATCCTGGTGCTTCTGCTGAGCCCAGAAGAAGAGCCGATCAGCTGGAATGTTGGAGCATCTCCAGGGTCTTGTGATTTACATTCAGGTGCTTGGCAACTGATTCATATTTATGATGGTCACAGTGTCCCAGGGTCATGTGATGTGACCAAAACCTGCTGCAACCACCCAGCAGATGGGGGGAATAAAAACCAAACATCCCCCACCCCACCCCCGCTGCCAATCCTCAACAGAAATGCTCACAACAATGAAAACCTCGGACAGGAGGAAGAGTGCGGCCGGGTGGGCAGGCAGGTGTCTTGCTCGGCTGTGGCTTGGGGGGCACTTTTTTCAGTGCCATTGTAACTTCGAACAGTCACTAAGCGAACTGTTGTAAGTCGAGGACTACCTGTACTTTATCACTTTTTTCCTTTTTTTTTTTTTTTGGTCATGAAGTTTTTGACACCTTGCTAGGCGACTGGTGGTACTCGGATGTTGCCTTGTCCTAAAAGTAATACAATGGGTGAAAAGGTTGAAAAGCCCTATTCTATTCTATTCTTCTATTCTATTATTCTATTCTATTCTATTCTATTCTATTCTATTATTCTATTCTATTCTATTCTATTCTATTCTATTCTATTCTATTATTCCTAGTCTGGTCTAGTCTATATTCATTGCATAAATCCTATTAATCCATGTTCAAGTTCCTTTTAGGACTATCACTATGGGAGATCACTTGAGCTGCAAGCAGGTTTAAGCTATTTGGTTTTCAAACTCATTGGAGAACTTTGACACACATAGCCGTTGGGTTCATGCAATGCCTTAAGACAGAATCCAACAAACCACAGCGTTACCAGGAGACCAGATAATATCTATCAACCTAATCTGTCTCACAAGGCTAATGTGTGGGTAAAACTGGAGAAAAGAGCAGACCAGACGTATAGGGAGGACACGTTGGAGAAACAGTGCAGACACCAAAAGCAAGCTCAACCAGAGAGAATCCGCGTTTGAACAGAACGTGTCCAGAAAAAGGATCTTTTCCAGTGATCATGACACCTAATAAGGTTAATGAATAAAAACATGAATATTCAATCTAGGGGGGGTACATATAGTCCACAGATTACCTCTCATCGGCCGATACGCTCCCACAGAGAGGGTCTCCTCAGGGTGCCGTCAGTCAGACAGTGCCGGCTGGCGACTCCCAGGGGGAGGGCCTTCTCTGTTGGAGCCCCCTCCCTATGGAACGAATTACCCCCAGAGATCCGGGTCATTCCGGATCTCCCCTCCTTCCGCCGCGCCCTCAAGACATGGCTATTCCAGCTAGCGGGACTGGCCTAAGGGATATTTTAATTTGATTTTTAACATAATTTTAAAAAGAAACGGCAAAAAAATCAATATTTCATTTTAATTGTATTTTAAACTTAGTATTTTGTATGGTTTGTCTGTTTTTTAACTTGCTGTAAGCCGCCCTGAGTCCGCCAGGAGAAGGGCGGGGTATAAATTTAATAAAACCAAAACCAAAACCAAACCATCTCAGTAAACAGGTGCATGGAAGCACAACCTATAGTAAGGAGGACTTAAAATCTTATCAAAAAAAGGTTTTTGATATAAAAAAAAACACCTCATGGCGTCAAAAACCAGGAGAATATCAAAGTGTGACTGATAGATAAAAGTATCAAAAATCAGGACAGGAACTTCAATCAAGAATTAGCCACTTACACTCCTCCCTGATCCATCTTCTAAAAAAATCAACACTATTCCATGACAAGGTAGATAAAAATCAGCCGGTCATAGTCCAATACTTTTTAGCTTATAAGATAAATGACAAAGGAAGCTCTATAGGAAGTGAGTGGTATAAACATTTCTCCATTCTACAGCCTGTTTAATTGCCATTATTTTTCCTTGTTATTTCTCCTACTAGCCCTTTTTCCACATTGAGAAAGTTTTGTGGAATCCAAGAGCTACAAAGCCATTTTGAGTAACGATCTGATTACTAATCCAGATAACCTCTATGCCAGTGGTGGCGAACCTATAGCACCGGTGCCAGAGGCGGCACTCGGAGCCCTCTCTGTGGGCACACGCGCCGTCGCCCCAGCCCTGCCTCCTCCCACGGCCCCCTCCTCACCAGCAGCCCCCCTGGAGAGTTGCCCATGGGGTGCGGCCCACACGAAGCAGCGGATCCAAGGACATGGTAGCTGGGCAGCAGGGACAAGACTCCGTCCTTGCGCCCCGTTGCGCGCAGATGCTGCTGCGGGGCACAGGTGGAGGGCATGGCCGCCATGGCGCTGCTGGGCTGCCTGGGTGATCTGTGGCGGGCCGTGGAAGTGGTGGGTGGCCCAGTGGGCAGGGCGGAGTGGGGACCGGGGTGGGAGTGCAGTTTTTGGGCACTCGGTCTCTAAAAAGTTCGCCATCACTGCTCTATGCTTACATTACTTGGGAAAACTGTGTGGATCAGCAGTATGGATCTCTTAACTACTCATCCTGAGAACTCTATTAAATGGACCCTTGTTTTCAATGATTCAATAAACTTATGCAATAAACACTAGGAGATGTTCCCTTCTTTGGAGGTTTTGTCCACCAAGAATGAAGATCCTCAGAGGGAAGGAAGTAAATTATTCGTGGTTTTTCCTTCCCAAGGTCTAGTATACTACAGGCGTTCCTCGACGTACGACCACAATTGAGCCCAAACTTTCTGCTGCTAAGTGAGACAGTTGCTAAGTGAGTTCTGCCCCATTTATACGACCTTTCTTGCCGTCGTTAAATTAGTAACGTGATTGTTAGGCGAATCAGGCTTCCTCCATTGACTCTGCTTGTCAGACAGTCGCAAAAGATGATCACATGACCCCAGGACACTGCAACCGTTATAAATATGACCTGCTCTCTCCTTCAGTTGAGGGGGGGGGAGGATCCCCTGGAGGGGAGGGCTGAGGACTTTGCCCAATATTTGTATGACAAAGTCGCTCGGATCCGAGAAGGCTTGGACTCTGACTGGGTGGCCCCGGGGGAGGAGACGGGAGCAGGTCTTGAGACTATTATATGGGAGGAGTTTGACTCTGTGGCTCCCGAGGACGTGGACAGGATCCTGGGGAGGCTGAAAGCAACCACATGTTTATTGGATCCGTGCCCCTCCTGGCTGGTACTGGC